TATGTATGTTGATTCTGTTTTTGCTACATTACCTGCAACAGATCAACGACTGGATGAGATACGTCTCCAACTACGTTAAGACTCGGTATGTTAATTCATAATGAAATACTTTACTGATAGATGGCCAAAATACACATCTCTGCCGGACTTTGCACGAAATTACTGGCCATTTACATGGGATGTCACTGTAGTAGATGGGCTACTCACGATGGGAGTACGACTGGTAATTCCTGCTTTGCATGAGAACTGAAATTCTTGACATTTGGCATTCTTCTCACCAGGGCATTACTAAGTGCAGCGCTCGAGCAAACAAGTCAGTTTGGTGGCCAGGCATCAGCTCACAGATAGAACATGCAGCCATGAGTTGTCATACATGTGCACGATTCTAACCTAACCCACCGCCCTATTTGAACTGAATTCCATACCATATTGACTTGTAGTGAACCACTAGTCGAAGTATATGTAGATAGCAAACTTTGTCAGTACTACCTCTGCAAGTGTGACGTACCAACTGAAATCTGTTTGCATAAGACATGGTATTCCGAACACTGTGATTTCCGACAACGGTCCAGAGTACTCGTCCTGTGTCTTTCAGAAATTTTCTGAGATCTATTTCTTCACTTATATCACAAGAAGCCCGAGGTACCCCAAAGTAATGGTGAGGCAGAGAGAGAGCAGTTCAAACTGTGAAGCAACTTTTGAAGAAATCATCTGATCTTTACATCGCATTCCTCACCTATAGGAGTACACTGTGACAGAATGGATTCAGTCCTTCTCAGCTTTTAATGGGATGCAACTTGCGGACAACTCGTCTTTTACCAAAATCCAACAGTGTCAAAAATCGAACTATGACTCTCGTCACAGATCACGCATTCTTCCCAAGGTGAAGGAGGGAGATACAGTGCTTGTCAATGACAGTGGATTCATCAGAGAAGGTCAAATCCACAGGGAGGCTGAAACCCCCAAGATCATTCTACATCTGTGCAGGAATCGTAGACACCTCACTCCTGTGCCAGAAAAGCACCCAACAAACACAGACGCCAGGTCACAGACCATGAATGTCTTGCCTGGTGTGCCAGATATGGAAGGGTTTCAGTTAGATCTGACAGATTTGATTTGTAGAATAAAGAACGGTAGTCAGTAAGAAACATTATTGTTTCATGTTAGTAGTTAACTGGTCAGTAGATTTGAATCTACAATGTGTTTGATTTCAGAAAACGACACTGAGGATCAAATGTATGTTTACTCCAAAAATGGAAAGTACATTATCATTTGTAATGGATAGTTTAACATCAACAGTTATTCGTGTATTACTAGCTTTTAATGTTGGATAACTCTCATCTTGTTATTGTACTTATCAAAGGGAGATGTGGTATTAGCTGAACCCTAAATTGGCTCCATCCTTAAATGGGCCTCAGCCAAAGACAGAATAGGGGAGATGACTCTCACAAGCATGCTGCTGGCTGCAAGCACATGCATCAGGCACACTCTTGTACAGAGCTACACTTACAGTGATTAAACACAGCTAACGGACAAGGACAACTTTATCATATGGCCACACAGCTTGATTTCAAATTTCGTTATTTAAGCTGACTGTTGCAATATTGTTCGAGAGCAATTTATAGCCACTTGTTGCAAGATGAAGTGCACCTGCTTCATTCTTTCATCAATTTGTCATTCACTTTGGTTACGCAATGGCAGATACTCATGCAAAATTTCCACAAAGACACTGATATTTTCATGCTGTGTTCGACAGTGTAACACGTCAGTCAGTCACAAGTTCTCTGTTTGAAAGCAGCTGCAGTGATCAGTCTGTAACATTTTCCAACAGATGATATTCCTCATACAAGTCATTTGGATGAATGAATGAATGAATGAATGAATTTCTTTATTTCCTCCAGAGTTGAATCCGAAGATTTTACATGGGCAAATACATTATTTACAATACATCTATGAAATAACTTGACTATATACAATGAAATCATGTTATACACTGCTATGAATAAATAATTTACGATGTACATTTTGAGAGCAGTAAAGTGTCTAGTAGATATACATAAGGTGTTTCTATAAATTCCATATGAAGTGGCAGAAAGTCATTATGTTGCTTTGCCAAGTATCGTAATCGAGTTCGTTAGTCAAGTCATGGACATCTGCACCGAGAAAGAATGAAAGCATAACATCATCGTCAAGCATATCTATTTTCACGTATACATCTACATCAAGTTTATCAATCAGGCATGAGAAGAAATTATTTCTGTCAGGCATAAACATTTCACAGTGCAAAATAATATGGCAATCATAGTCATAGCAATGTCTATTGCAATGGTTACATTCTTTCGACACTTTTGCTCTTGATCCGATTTTAATACAAAGTTGCAGGGGTTGTCTTAGATGTGGATAGAGATACATTACATTATAAAGAACATGCATTTGTAACCGTTTATGAATTTTATGGTATCGTGAAAGATCCGGTCTCTGTGCCAGTCTCTCTCTCTCTCCAGATGTACTGTTCATTCTCTGATAGACGTCTGATTACAAGAGCTCGCCAAGCCGATTTTGTTGGGAACGAACCGCTATCAGTATATCCCTTTATATAGTTATCCAAATGGTATTTTTTAGCAGTATATAGAAGGATGTTGCATATGCTTACTGGACAGCTAATATTGACAAAAGCGTTGGTAGCAATGTGAGCACAAAATAGGTCTTTTGTTATTGAGTTACAATCGTTATTGCAGAGCCTTCCTAATAATTGTAGTCTACATTTATCAATGTAGCCATTCATTGACCACATTCCCAAGTTAGAAATAGACGAATCGGTTGGATGTCTTTTACCAAATCCTTGTACATGACGAGCAAAGTAACGTTGTGTATATTCAATCATTTCAAGTTCTTTACCGTAAAAGGCTGGTAACAATTCACATCCATAAAAGCTTGTAGATAAAATCATTCTTTTCCATATATTGAAAAATGCAATTGGGTGTAGGTCTGAGTCGTTGAGGCCGAGTGATCGTAGTGAATTAACACTTTTTCTTGCTTTTGAGCAACATGTCATGATTCTTTCTTTACAGGATAAATTACTGTTTATGATTATTCCGCCATATTTGACGGAGTCGGAAGTGTCAATTATTGCATCGCCAAATTTGTAGGTTACTTTATTATGACGCTGGCGTGTTTTGCAGAATACAAGTGATTTACTCTTGGAGGCATTATAGGTGAGTCTCCATTTGTTGGCATATAAACGAACTGAATCAAGGGAAGACTGTAAGCCCCGTGGGGTTGTAGACACGAGCGTTGTGTCATCGGCCAATAACACACAGGGTATATAGATGCCATAAACAGAGAGGCCATCGTTTGCTTTCCTTAGTTCACATATAAGGTCATTTATGAAAACGAGAAAGACCCATGCTGACATAACTCGACCTTGCCCAACACCTTGTTTAATGGGAAAATCATCAGATCTTTCTCCGTTGTAGGATATAAAAGCACAGCTGTCTGTATAGCTATGGAAAAGTAAGTTCCATAATTTACCTTTCACACCAAGGTCATGTCATTTAACAAAAAGACCGTCGTGCCAAATACGATCGAAAGCTTTTTCATTATCTAAAAATGCAGCAAACACTTGTGATTCTCTTTCTAGGTAAAAATTAACACATTCTAAAACGGTGAATACAGACATGATTGCTCCATGTTCCTTTCTGAAACCAAATTGTAAAGCATCGGGGAATGATTGGAGATTACTGGGTGTATATTTTTCTATTCTACTTAAAATGATTTTCTCTAGGAGTTTAGATAGACACGATGTAAGAGTTATGCCCCTGTAGTTACGTGGATCATGTTTGTCGTTTTTGCCTTTATAAATAGGTATTATCATACCTTTTCTGAAGGCACATGGATAATACTGGGATGCAAGTATTTGATTGAATAGGTGTTTGAGGGTTACCACAAGCATCTCTCCTCCAAATATCAGGTGTTCATTTGTGATACCATCAGGTCCTGGAGATTTGTTTCTTTTAAGGTTGTGTATATGTGATCTGATTTCTGGGACTTGGATTTCTGTATACAGGATATCATCTAGTAAATCATGATTATGACGATTTTGTTCCATGATATAATGAAGTTTTGATACAATGGTGACCTATAGTACAGAAGTGTTTTTTTTGTATCAACATTGTTCAGTCACGTGTATGTAATAATAAGTTTACATATAATATTAACGTCTAATTTCAAAAATCTTTTTTCAGGAATATTGACAGAGATGATATTGTATTAGCATTGCGGGAGTTCAGCAAATTTTTCATCAGTTGTTCATCTTTGTACATAGTTGAAATCATAGGGAGGTATCTATTTCTAAGAAACTGATGATATTTACAAATGAGAAGTACATGAAATTCCTCCTCAACATAGCCTTCATTACAATAACCGCATAAACTACTTTCCTTTTCTTGTACATTTTTCTTTCTGAGATTATTAACATTAATATTATGCAATAATATACGTTATTTACACAAAGTTCTTCTCAAAGTTCTATCCTGAAGTTCAGATACATATTTTTCAGGAACAAGAAATGATTTTATATTCGTATAATGGCATAAAAACCTTGAGGATGATATTTGACAGTGCCAATCTTGTGAAAATATATCAAGTAATCTTTGCTTAAGCATGAAGATAAATAAATTATTATTTCCAAAATCTTGAGATATCGATGCAAGAGAAAAACCAGACATACAAAGAATATTCCTGATATCAGATACCCATAAACAATATTTACCCTTTTCATCCAAGGCTTTTAACATATTATAACAATGAAGAGGAAATCTATTTGAATTCATTGAACAATTTCAAGTATATCATAAGCATTGTGTCATGTTGTTATGTTCTACCACAACACCTGCCAAGTTGAGTGAATCTTCATATTGATTGTTTTTACGCTATGTGTCCATATTTGAGCACTTTAATAATGATTTCAAACCTGCTGAAATAGTCCACTTCTGTTACAGGTACCTGGCAAAATGTCGCCCTGAACAAACCAGCATGGGTGAGTAAAGTATACACAGGCGCCAATCTGCCGGCCAGTAATGCTGTAGATGGAGGGACTACCGCAAACAGTTATAGATATACAGCCCACACACAGGTTAAGGAACCTACAGCCTGGTGGAAGGTGGATCTACAGAGAGAAGTACAGTCAGCACAGGTTAAAATCTACTTCAGGACTGACTGTAAGTATTCTTAGATATAATGTAATTATGGTGGAATGTAGTAATAAAGCTATATAGATTTTACATAATATAGTATGACTACAGTAAATAGTGGAAATTCATTTATTAGAAATGAAAGTATGTAACCAATACATTTATGCGAATTTTTTTTTGTTTAATCCAACTGTGAACCGTATGTCAAATGAACTTATAAATTGACGTCCTAAAGAAACTTTACCAACTGAAAATATAAATTTCAGACAAAGTATAAATTCTTTTCCATGAAGTCTATCTAAAACACAACCTAAATACAACAATAGTGTATGCAGAAAATGTTTATCGTCTGTTACATGTTTGCGAGATAACACGCGAAAAAGTAAAAAACACGTGCACCACGGACAACTGCAAATGCACGTGCGGGTAAGGGTATAAAACGATTGCAACGGCAAGTCAGACATCCACAGCGATAAAAAAAAACACAAAAGAAATACCACAGTCGAACAACGTGAACGAGCCTGAACAGATGGGAGACACCCATGCCCATATTGCACGAACCTTCGGTTGCTCCCGTGTTGCCGTTACCAACTTGATGCAACGTTACAGACAGACAGGGCGGACCGCTGACAGGCCAAGAACAGGCAAACCCAGGGTGACCACGCCCCATGATGCCCGGTACTTGCGTACCTTGCACCTCCGAAATCGCTTCCTGACAGTGACGTCATCGGCGACAAATACCTTAGGTCACAGGGTTAGTCGACAGACAGTGGCCAGGAGACTCAGAGCTCATGGAATCAGGGCTTTGAGACCGTACAGAGGACAGCTATTGACAGGGCAACATCGTCGTCTGCGATTGAGATGGGCCCGGACTGTACGACGTTGGCAACGACGTGACTGGCAGTGGGTTGTCTTCACTGACGAAAGTCGATTCTGTATGTTTAGGGCTGATTGAAGACAACGTGTTTACCGCCGAAGGGGTGAACGAATGGCTGCGTGTTGCGTGCAGGAGGCCGTACCATATTGTGGAGGGAGTGTCATGGTGTGGGGAGGGATCTGAGGGCAGAAGAGGACACCGCTGGCAGAAGAGCACACCGCTGGTCATCGTTGACGGAAACTTGACAGCTCTGCGTTAATTACATGGATAACATTCTTCGTCCAGTTGACCTACCATTTCTCCAACAGCAGCCACGAGTTGTCATTTATGAGCATGACAACGCTAGAGCCCATACAGCCAGAATTGTCACTAACTTCCTCGCAGCCAACAACGTCAACTTCCTTCCGTTGCCTGCACGCTCACCCGACATGTCCCCCATAGAACACCTCTGGGACTTGATGGATCGTTGTGTTCGACAACGACCATACTCTCCAGCCAACCTCCAAGAACTGATCTTGGCCCTCCAAGAAGAATGGCGTCAAATCCCACGTGCTCTGACGTCATTCTCGGTCGCGGTATGATTGTCATTTTCAGTGTTTTGATTATGTTGATATATGGATCCTCTCAATACATTTTATTTCATGCATGTATGTTTTGTTGTTTTTGAGCAAGAGTGATTTCAAACTACGGTAAAGTTCTTTTGGACATCAGTTTATATGGGTCTACTTGTCTGCCATATTCTTCAGCATAGTCCTTAAAAGATCTTCTCAAATTTATTGAAACATATTCACACACATCTAATATTTGATTATTATGATAATATTTATTGAAATATTGACCTTGTGACAATGTCCATATCCTTAAATAGTACAAACATTATTATAAAAAATATGTGCGAATTGCAATGATGGCATCAAGTTTGTTGCAATCATTGATGGTAATAAGAAAGAGAATGTTTGGCTGTCAACGTCCTTATTATGAGGAACACAACGTTTCAGGGCACATGCTTACTACTTTATTAGGTGAATGAATGTTGTGAGGCAGAGAGCATATATATGTACATGTAAGAACAACAAAAGTAATAACATAACAAAAGGTGGAAACTTAACAAGGGAAGCCACCAGATAATTGGCGCTGATAGGTGATAAGTAATATACAATAGAAGCCACTTCATAGTAACTAGCGCTGATAGTCCTGTCTACCATCAACAACAACTGGCGACAAAGAAAACTAAAAGGAGCCATTGACATCAGAAGACACCATCCCGCCATTAATCGTGACCGTGACCTATCTGCCAAGTGCTTGGGACTTTGCTTTGATCTTTATCGGTGCCAATTTGTCGGTGGCTTCCTTTTGCTATTTCTATTCTTGTACCTATCAGTGTTGATTTACCCCGGCCTCCCGTTTGCCCATTGTCCATTGACAGTTACAAATCGGTGATAATTTAGTCCTGGCTTCCAGTTGTCATAACTAGGAAGATTCAATGTAGCCATCGTTGAGATATACATTTAAAATACCGTGGCGTTGATCTGAACGCAACAACCAATCACAATGAAATTTCACATGACGTATTAACAGCACGTGACAGGAATAGTATTCAAACATAAAAACATGAAACCCGCCTCCCCAATCCTCCAGCTAAACAATCAAACAATCAAATTTTAAAAAACAAACCAAATTCTTAGGACTTATTTTTGATGAACATCTCACCTGGGATGCTCACATCCAAAACCTAACAACTAAATGCAGTAAAGACCTAAACACCCATGATGCCTAACTGGTTCTAACTGGGGAGCCTCCAAAGATACCCTCCTCTCTCTCTACATATCACTAATTAGATCAAAACTAGACTACGGCTGCGCCATATACAACATGTACACCCTAAACAACTCTCTATCTAAAAAACTTGACTCAATACAATATCAGGCTCTCAAACTAATTACACGCACCCAACATGGCACCTCCTACACCTCACTTCAGGCCTTAACAGGAGAAATGCCACTAAGTCTACGCAGGGAACAGCTAAGCTTAAATTTCTGGGCCGCGTCCCAACCAAACCCTCTCATCCAAAACTTAATAAACCAAAACATCAGCCCCAAAAACCAAGCTCTAGCTCGTAAACACCCCTTACTTACCCCAATATCCTAAAGAATAACAAACTACCTAAATGAACACCATATTAAAAATTTTAAACAAATCTGCAAACAATCAAATACCTTCACCCCTAAACTTAAAATACCCAAAATAGACACAACACTAGCTAGCCAAATAAATAAACAAACCGACCGAAACATAGCTAAAACTACCACAATAGCATACATACATGAAAATTGGCCAAATTGGTGTCACATTTACCCGGACGGATCCTCAGATCCGACCTCCAAACACACAGGTTTCGGAGTCCATACCACACAACCAACTAAAACCACACAATCCTTCCGACTCCCAAACAACCAATCAATATTCACGGCAGAACTAATGGGCATGGCCTCAGCCCTACATAATCAAGAATCCAAAAACCACAAAAAAAATCCTAATACTTACCGACTCCCTAAGTGGACTGCAAGCCCTTCAAAACAAAAAATACCAAAAACCGACCTAAATTAATAAATCAAATACGTAAAAGCTCCAACGACCTAACTAAGGCAGGCAAACAAATAACCTTCTTGTGGATACCCGCCCACGTAGGAATATACGGTAATGAAAACGCCGATAAAGCAGCTAAACTATCCCTCAAAATCCCAGAAATAAGCTTAAACTTACCCATCTCAAAATCAGAAATTAAAAGTGTAAACAAGCAAAAAATCACAAAAAAGGCATAACCTATATCTAAACTCAAATAGCCAAATCAAAAAAGTGCCCAGCAAACCACTAACCAAACCAAAAATTCTCCATCCATAAAAAAAAATCGACAGAGTAATCACTAAACTCCAAACAGGACACACCAACCTAAATAACCACCTAACAATATTTAAAAAACACACTACAGGTAACTGCCCACACTGCAAACAACCAGAAACCCAAGAACACGCACTTATCCACTGCACACACTACCTAACACAGCGAACCGCATTACAAACCACCCTCAATCCAAACAAGGCTCTCACTCTAGAAGCAATACTAAACCCACAAAATAAACTCGAAAACTTCCAGGCCTTAGGCGTATTCTTAATAAAAACGGAACTAATAAAACCTACCAAATCAAAATCAAATAAACAAACAAACATCCACCATACCCAGCTCCCTTAGTTCTCCTCCCCAACCCCATGGCATCTATTCCAAATCTCAAAATTCCCAAATTCTATATCAGCAACCCCTAAACCCCCCTCTTGGGTTGCACAGACCACTTTCGCCCCTTTCGGACACACATTAAATGGCCTGGCCGGGCCCGTGTGCGAAATACGCATCAGTCGGAAAGCGCACGTTAAATCTCCAAAGTAAGTAAGTAAGTAAGATGTTCACACAGGAGCCAAAAATTTGGTGCCCATTAGGGAACTCACAGGGAACTCACAGGGAACTCACAATCACTTTTGAAATAGAAGCTCATACGCTTAAATGTTTCCAAGACAGTATTTCACTGAATAGATACAATGGAGACTTGTGGTTACGATGGAGGTGGAGATGTCATTATCCCAAGTTGCCCGAATGTCTGGCAAATATAAATGCGTAATTTCTCGACTGTGGGACAAGTACTGGCAAACTCATTTGATTACTGTGAATAGACTTTTGACTGGCTAGTCATATAATGATGACATTTTGCATCCTGTCGTTGTTCAATAAGCTAGAATTATTAGCAGAAAATTTGAACTGCAAGATGACAATGCCGAACCACTCCGTGCGCATGTCTTCACCGATTACCAAAAGACGTTAAAATATGGAACTTGTTGTTGGACTGGCCGGCTCGGAGTCAGATTACTGTGTCTGAGTAGCTGAGTGGGGTATTCACGTTAAACTGCGGAATGTTATCCCGGTGAGCTAGCACGATAAATCGTCATCAGTCCGGACTAGTACTAGTACAAGCACACACACACACGCACGCACGCCAGGACGCACACGTGCATACATCGCTATATAAGGGCAATAATCTTGGAATCGACGTTAAACCCAATTTCACCTCACTCACCTTCACCGATTATCTCCGACGAGAAGG